CTGGACAGGTTAGCAACATAAGTCACAATAGGAGGCGGTACATTAATAACCGGTCCTGAAGGGACAGAACTAACATTTAAAATATCATGTGTCAGAAATTTTTGAAAATAAGTCAGCTTCAAGTTGATAACAACTAGTATAAACATCAGTTTGAATAGTCTCTGCATCAGCACGATTTTCATCTAAAATTACTCTTCTAATTCTACCAGCCAAATATACAAGACGAGATTTTATAACTTTAAACATTGAATCATTTACTCCACCCTCGAATTCAGAAATTGACAAAGAAATTGAATCTAAAGTTGCTTTAATTTCGAAAATTTCTTGATCAAAAGAAAGAGGATAATTTTCCATATTAACTAAACAAAAGGGTTATTAATTTCTCTACTTAAAAGACCTGACAAAATTTTACGTTTACTCTCAACATTTTTAGATGTCTTAATACCCCTTATAAGAAGTTCATAATCTAATTCTACTTGTCGTAATGATTAACTTTAAAAGATTCTTTCTCCATTGTAATTCAGTTGTTATTATTAAGATATTAAAGACTAAATGATTCAGAAAAATTTACTAATTTTAACAAAAAGCTGTTATGACTCGACGCAATCTATCAGAAAGAAATTATGTTCAATGTCAAAACCAAAAAAGACTCAAATATTCAAAACAAATTCCAAAATTTTACGAAGTACTAACAACGCTACCCTGTATACTAAAATTATGTCCACTCTGTATATTCAAAATATAACCTTACCTGTATATTTATATCAAGATCAAAATTTCAATAAACTATGTAGTCAGAAGTATCAAGTATTTATCTCTGAGTTTTAAACCGATAAACAAACACCCTCTATAACATAAAAAACAAAAATTGCTGTTGTACTGAAATATAAAAATTAAATTACAGAAATAATGAAAACAAAAATTCAAAACTATAGTCTTTGCCTTAAAGAAAATTTATCTGAGCCTAATAGAAATTATTTTACTGAATTAAGTTTACTAAATTAAGTCAATCAAATTAAGCTGAGCCAATCAAAATAAGCTGAGTCAATAAAATTAAGCTGAGTCAATCAAATTAAGCTGAGCCCCACGTTACAGGGCGTCATATACTTTATTCTTCTATGTGTGACGACTTTTCTGTCGTTACCCGAATAGAATGAAAAAAGAATCCGTTGCTCAGGGTTAGAGGAAAGCTGGGTTCGTAGGTAAGGCTTCTGACTCACAGTGACTTTCTAATGTTGTTAAATATTAAAATAAAAAATGATAATATATAGGCTGCAGAGATTTTAATATTGATGTTAAGAATTCAAATAGGTATGGTCAAAGACAGTGAAAAGGGCGCCACTTACTTTGTTTATAAGAGTGGTAAAGTAAGAAACCAAAAAGAAAAATATGATATCACAACATAGCTAAAATAAAGTAATCAACAGCATTAAGGGTCTATTATGTTTATCAGGAATAAAAGTCAGAAATAACTATCCTACATTAAACATTTATTGAAAACGAACACAAGTATCATCAATTAGTCACAATGATCCCAATAAAACCGCAAGTTATTTTAATTAGATTCGAATTTAGTAACTGTATTCTTTGAACTAAGTAAGCTACTTAATAAAAAAACAGGTGAAATTGATGTGTGTCTCAATACGATGATGTTTCGAAACATGTCGTGTACAAAAACCTTTAAAATCAATACGTGTTAATAATTTTCATATAAAATATCATAGCTAGGTAAGAGTGTACTGTACGAATCAAATTATAACTCATAACGTTAAATAAAAATAATTTTGACTACAATATGTGGGATAAATAGTGATAATTTACCAGGTTATTAAATCTGTTGTCTCAAAAATTATAAAATAAAAGCGTACCTTGTGTATCAAACTTAAGACTTATCTGAATATAGTTTCTTATGATGTAAACAGGTAGATAGGTATTCTCCAGACTAACAGAAGTGGATGCAGATGACTATGGCAGAAGTCCTCGATATCAGCCAAAGGAACGATTGTAATGTCAGGAACATTGTCTTAAGGTCATATGGTAGTTACTGAGTACCAGGTGGTAGTTACTGAGTACCATGTGATAGTTACTGAGTACCATGTGGTAATTTTACTTAATATCATGTGGTACTTTTACTGAGTACCATGTGGTAATTTTTACTGAATATCATGTGGTACTTTTACTTAATATCATGTGGTACTTTTACTCTATAAATAAAAAATAGTTCTCAGGACAGATACTAAATAAAAAAAAACAACTTACGGTCTGAAAATCAGCTTTACATAAATATATTCAAACCATATGCCGATCCAAACCAGTAATTAAATACTCAAGTAAACAAAATAACAAACGGAAATAACTGAAATAGAATTTAGTTAGATAGGGCTATATAAAATGGCGGATAAACTTACGGTGATCATTCCAAGAAGAAACCAAACAAATACGATCTATACTCTGAATTGCATACTTTACAAGGTTTTCAAATCTCCAAATCGGATACCCATGCAATCGAAATCAATAAGTGGATTCAGAGTGCTTTTCACTGGAAAATTTGTCGGACGCCGAAACGCGTCTTCTTCAGATCCAAATTCCCAGAAAAAAGACCTTCTTCTCAGTTTCAGAAACGAAAACAAAAAACTCTTTTCACCACAGACAAGTGAAATGCAATTAAAGAAGTTTGGCATATAGCGAATAGATGGCGCTAATAAACAAGACAAGTAAACTGTAAGAAATGAAGTTTGACATCTAGCGAATAGATGCGCTAATAAAAATTAAATATCGAAACAAGTGACCTGTAACAAATGGAGTTTGGTATCTTTGGCATCTAGCAAATAGATGGCGCCAATACTAAGAAATTTAAATAAAAATAGAATTTTAAATTCAATTTTATTAAAGGAAATAAAAAATGCTACAATATGTCAACTTTTGACCTCGCTTAATAAAAAATCGTATTTTAAAATTCAATCTAGAGTGCCTTAGCTATGTTAGAAACTCTAATACTTAATCAAGGAGCCTGAGAAAAATAGATTTGATCGTCTAATGTTTTAGTGTCTTGTCCTGGCCAGTTAGAAAATGCTCAAATCGTATTTTTAATGATATCTCATTTTTTTCAAATGAAACGAGGGTGGCTCATTAACATATTTGGAAAAAGCATTTTTTTACGAATAATTTGATACCACACACTTGGTATTTCGAGTCAAATTTTTGTTACGAACTCTCGCCAAGCGTCACAAAAATGGTGTCGATCTTGGAGCATCATCGTAACTCCTGCCCTATGTGAGTCTGGGGCTGAAAATTGGAATGTGATTTTCATGATATATTGACGACGTTTCATGCTCTAGAAAATTCCATCATCAATGGCGAAAAAATCGTCCGATTTAATGGGTTTTTGGAACGTCGTAACTCGGGCTCTATGTATACTAGGGGCTGAAACTCGGAATGTAGATGAGGCTCGAAGAGTCTCAGAAGAAACGTCAAAAGTTGATGTCCGATCGCGACCAAATATGGAGGGTAGGCAATGTGAGCGATGGTGCACACTGTCCAACCCTGTAAAGTTGAACACAACGTTTCATTAATTTAGATCTTCACCAGGGTGGGACTAACGATTCGATATTGAAGAAAAATGTGGGATGATTCCAGCATAATTGGGGACGGGCTACAGCGACGTTTCGAACCGATGTCTCTAAATGGATGAAATCATAAGGATTCTTCTTAATTATACTTTGGAACCAAACTCGGCCCAACTAACAATTTCTGTTTTAAAGATGTCCTAAGAACGTTTACAGAACTATTTTTATAAAATAACAGTATTGCGATAAACCTTTCAACAACGTTTATACAAAAAAACCTTTTGTGCAACAATTTAGTTCTTTAATTTGTTTTATTATAGCTTCTATAGCTTTTACCGGACAATTACATAAACATTTACAAAATTATTATAAAATATTATTTGGAACAATTATAAAACACTTTTATTGAAAACAGTTACAGAGTTAAATATTTTATCAAAATTATAACAATTATACAATTATCGAGCTAGAATAAAACACTTTTATAAAAGTTGTTTTGTTATACCAGCGGTTCCGATTTTGCTGTGAGGAACACTATGAAAGGAAGCTTTTGTTGTTGAATTGTACCCACAGAGCATAATTTATTTTTTAATCATCGTTCTGAGAACAAAAAAGTCAAAGTCAACAGTTATGTCTGAATATACAACAGCCATATTGCATTTAGCTCTGACCATTAATAGCCAGTCTTAGGTAAGAAATTCGGTATGCCATCTGAGGATTGATATTTTACTGCGAGGAAATTTTTTATATAATGTATGGTATTTAAATAGCAAAATTTTCAAGCACCTTAAATACTATGTTATCTATTTTTGAGTTTTAAGAGAAAGAATCAAAAATAATATTTCGTGTTTTTCTTTCATTTGGCCTGTACTTGTAATAAAATACCCTAGGATCCATCTTAGGGTAGAGAGTTGTGGCATTTTATTATGGGTAAAATGATTTTTTTATAATGCATTTAAATTTTTAGTAAAATTTTAGTAAAAATAATTACTACGTAGTTAAAATAAGAGAGAAAAATAACAGTTAAAAATAATTACTTACTCGTAAAAATTAAATTTTGTCAAAACTGGAAAGAAAAGTTACCGTAACAATTTCACCTCTTCTGTGGTTGTTGTCCGCAGGAGATCTTCAAAACCCGTTGGTATAGCTACATTTCGAACCAGTTGATTCTCTTTGTAAGAATATCTACTCCCGGTTTTTTTTCTTTTATTACAACTACGAGAGTGATTTTCTCAACCGTTGGCTGATACGCTGTTATGCTAATAAATATAATTTGGTAATAATTATAAATGCAATTTGGTGACTAAAAACATAACTAAATTCTCCTTATCGTTATCATTAAACTGTTAAAATAATTGGCGATATAAGTAAATCGTGTTCTTCTAAACAATTGTAATTGTCAATATTTTTGTAAGTAACTAGAAAAATATATTTTTACTAAAAAGTCGTGATTGAAAGTTTCACGTTTATATGACTATATAAGATTGATTGATTTTGTTTGTTTTAAATCATTACAATGGCGTCTTTGACATTAACTGTTCTATGGTAAGTACAGTTTAAATTATTTATAAGTATATATTTAAGTAGAATATGAACAAGAATTTTTTTTCTTTTTTAAGTAGAATATATATTTTATATACTAGAATGTATTTATTTTCATTATATTAGTATAAGCTCACTGCAATTAAGGGAATGTTTTTAGTTTGTTTTATTATTAACAAAATTAAAGTTTATGCCAAAAATTTATTGATGGAAATAAAGGAATTTTAAATATTTGCTAAGAATGTAATATATTTTAGTTTCTCCGTTTGCTTATATGGGCTTCATGCCTATAGCATCAGCACGGAACGTTCACCAGAATTGGCAGAAGAACATTCCCAAGAAAATACATCAAATGAAAGTGACACATTTCCTGAAGTAGAAATTTCAATAATTATTTTAGCGCATTGTTATGATAAAAGCCACTTTGAAGAGTCTGACGATTTATTGTATCACAATGAAGGTTATTTTTATTTTATTATATATTCTTAATTTAGAACGTTTTAAATAAATATAAATATCACTGTAAATGTCCGAAATGTAGTAAAACCTAGGATAAGTGTGCTAAACCTAGGATTTACCAAAAGCAAGTGGTAAAAGCTCGAAAACTTCTTTATTTTGCTTCCAATTCGGACATTTACCGGACCCAAACAGTAAATCTTAGGATTAAGTAATCTACAATATCGACAAATTAAGGATGTCGATATACAAAGACATCTCTGTTTTTGTTTACTTTATCATCTCTGTTTTTGTTTTACGATATCGATTTTTGTAACGTATCAGTTTTATATTTGTTACTGTAAATGGTCCGAAATACGGTAAAACCTAGGATAAGCGCGCTAAACCTAGGATTTACCAAAATCATTAACTAATTAGGTTAGCCTGGTTATTTGTAGGGTGTTAATGCATTTGTTAGCCTGGTTATTTGGAGGGTGTTAATGCATTGGTTAGTCTGGTTATTTGGAGGGTGTTAATGCATTGGTTAGCCTGGTTATTTGGGGGGTGTTAATGCATTGGTTAGGTGGTTATTTGGTGGGGTTAGATTAGATTAGATTAGATTCTTAGAGGTTGCTTTCGGCCTGATCCACTGCGACCTTCTCAGATCTATTGTGGTCCTCTTCTGATCCTTAGATTACACATTCTCCAGTCCTATCCTTTCACAAAGTTTAGCAACTTGGAGACTGAACCCTCTATGTAGCTCCTTGGCAATGGCCTATCATTGCCTATTACCGGGAACCGCACATTTGCCAGGCTGTCACACCGACAAAAAATGTGTTCTGACGTTTCTTCTTCAGATTGGCAGAACCTACACATAGCTTCGTCTGTCAATCCCATCAGCTTTAGATGCCTATTTAGCTTACAATGCCCTGTTAGTAGACCTACTACAGCTTTTGGTTAGTCTTTCTGTCCTTGCTTATCAAGTCTACCGTGAATTTTGGCGAATGTTCTACAATGAACCTTTTTGCTTGTCTCTGCCCTGGTGAGTTTCTCCACCATTCTAGAGATTTGTTGGCCACCCATCATTCCGTGGACATTCTCGTGACCGCCTTTGCAACGCCGCAGAAGGGTTCTGGGCCTATGAATGGCATTGATGAGCCTTGCTTGGCCCTTTCATCCGCCTTTTCGTTACCCTTGTGACCCTCGTGCCCTGGCACCCAGGCCAACGTAACAGTGCTACGTTCGCCCAAAGTATTCAGAGCACGCACACAGTCCCACACTAGTCTAGACTTGACCTCCGCGGAGCCGAGTGCCTTTAGCGCCGCTTGGCTGTCTGTGAAGATGGCCACAGAACGATTTGTTCTTTGTTGCCTTATTATTTCTTCTACACAATAGTGGATTGCCGTTATTTCTGCCTGTAACATCCTTAGATAGGCTTACGTCGAAGGATCTCCCTTGTTTCGGCCCTACTATCCCAGCTCCTACGCCGTCTGACGTTTTTGAGCCGTCTGTATACCAGGTTGCCTCAGCTTGAATGGGTACACCTTTACACCAGTCTTCCCTTCCTGATATGGTTATATTAAATTTGTTGTTGAAGCTATACCTAGTAGCTGTTGCATCATTTGGTAATCCCAATACTTTGTCTGCTTTTAGCTCTTCGATTAGCTTCTGGTTAGCAGCACTATGCGTTTGGCTTATGTGCTGCTGACCGTGAATTAACCTGTGCATGACAGATCTGGCTTTGCCTTGTATGAAAATATGTAGTGGTGGTAAGTTCAACAAGACTTATATCGCATTTGTAGGAGTGGTTTTTATGGCCCCAGTTACACACAGGTACGCAAGCCTTTGTGTGGAACTTAACAGCGTTACCGCACCCACTTGCTATGTTTTTGTCCACCACGCCACCGACCCGTAGGTTATCATGGGTGTTACTACCCTTGTGTATAGCCATAGAGTCATTTTAGGGTTAAGTCCCCAGTTTTTTCCACACATCCTTCTGCGCCTGCCTAAAGAGATGGCAGCCTTCTGTGTTGCCTTCGCTATGTGAGTATTCCATGTAAGCCTTTGATCAAAAAATATCTATTATTTTTTGACGGTGGGGTTTTGACGGACTATTTGGTGGGGTTGGTTGGTTTTTACTGCCACTTGCTTATTCGTACTTTTACCAATGCGGTGTGGTAAATCCTAAGATTTACTGTTTGGGTCCGGTAAAACTCCGAAATGGAAGCAAAATAAATAGTTTTCGGGCTTTTACCACATGGTTTTGGTAAATCCTAGGTTTAGCGCGCTTATCCTAGGTTTTTCCGCATTTCGGACATTTACAGTAACATTAATAGGTAATAGGAGAAATATTGAATGGAAATAAATAGAATAACATAAAGAATTATTAGTCTTAATAATGAAAAAAATGTATTTCAGACAAGCTTAAGTGTTTCCTTGACTGCCTGGAAGACATAATTTTGGATATTGTAGCTACCCAGGAAAATGGAGTATCGGGGAGTTCTTCAAACACTGAAAAGGGTTCTAAGAACGAAATTGAAACCGATTCAGGAGAAAAAAGACCCATTATAAGCTTTTTGAAAAAACAATTTAAAAAAGGTAAATCGATTTTTCATAAAGTGACCGGAGAAATGTTTAAATCGAAGGAGTAATTCGCACTTATCTCTAACATTCGTCTATTTTTTATTTAAATGCAAATCTGGATATTGGACCATGTAGAAAGTAATTCCTTTATACTAATTTTATATGCACAATATATGGAGACAATTATAAAAAAAATAGTTTTATTTAAATTATATAACCCTAGAAATTTTAGCCTGTGAACCTTTTTTAATAGAATTACACTTACTTTTTAAGGCCCGATTGTACAAACATGACTTAAACTCGAGTTCATGCAGACTCGGCTCAACGCTGAACAATTTTTTTTTGTTCTATAAGGTTATAAGATGATTAAAAGTCCAGTTTAAATGGCTCAATAAATTTAAATCGTCAAATAACTATTTTTTAAGTAATTTCAACGATAAGAAGTCACTAAATACCTAATTTAAAAATTAAAATTTTTGAACTTGGTTTAAGCCTAAACTCACCTTGAACCGAGTATGTACAGGGTGTCCGACTAAGAACAGCTCTCGGCTATATCGCGGAAAGTATTAGCCATAGAGCCTGTGGAAAAAATATTTATAACTTTCTTTAACTTATTAACTTTTCTTTCTCTATATTATACCGTATAAACAATAATAATAAGCTTTTGAATGTATACGCTAGGGTGCGCTGTCTTACATTTTAACAAATATTGCGCGTTTTTTCAAAAAAAACATAAATGCGATAGCATATGTAATTTTAGTTGATACAGAGGTTGATACTAAAGACTAATAGAAGCTTAAAAAGTCAGCGAAAACCGCATCTTGATATCTTTTTTCAAACTAAAGTTATTGCAAAATTAAAATAAATACGAAACTATAAGCCCTTAATTACCTTATTTTTCTAACACGGTATCACTAGCCTTTAGTGTCGCACAAGACAAGAATTCTTGTCTTGAAAATCAATTTATTGTCTTGTCTTGAAATTCAAGACAAGAAATTTTCAAAGTCTTGTCTTGCAGATTTCTTGAATGGCAAAATCTTGTCTTATCTTGCAAGACGCTTGAAATTTTTGTCTTGAAAAATTTTACATTCTAACAAAAAGGTAATAATATTATATTTATATTTTCTTTCATAGAAAGCGTCGTATACAAAATGTAATACGGAAAAATGAACAACGATGCTAAAAAAAATCTTAACAGACTTATTTGCGCTAAATAGCGTGCTCCACGAACTCATTAGTTCCAACTACCGTTAGTTTTTTTATAATACCATTATACCAATATAATTTTGTGTATAATACCAATTACCAATATACGATTTGTTGCCTCCACTTTATTTTATTTCATTCTCAACTCTAAAACACTGGCTATGATAGACTGGTCAATATTAATGCCGGGTTTATACAACATTTGCATAATCGTAATCATAATCACAGTCTTAATCATCGTCATAATCACAACGCAATTTTAATGTGCGTTTATAGAACATTTTCACAATCATAATTTTTATATCAGTGAAGTTGGGTAACATAATTAAAGGCTAAGTTCATGGTAGATGTCAACAGGTTTATAAGAAGTGGATAATTTAACTTTTATGATTATGACTATGACTGTGATTACGACTATGTAAATGTTACCCGGCATACCTCGCGCAAAGACCTAATTATCACTTAAAAAAATGTACCATTTCTAACTTTCAAGAAATCTTGCAAGACTCTTGAAATTTCTTGCATATTAAAGTCTTGTCTTGTCTTGAAATTCAAGACAAGAAATTTTGTAAGTCTTGTCTTGAATTTCTTGCAAGAGTCTTGGTCTTGCAAGACTTTTTCAAGACTCTTGTGCAACAATACTAGCCTTCTTGATTATGACCATTCTAATAAAAAATAAGATGAAAAAAGATTATTTTATTCAAAAAATTGACAATGTGCCAGAATACCATAATACTAGGTGTATAATATTAATATCTAATAATTAAGATATCAATGACAGTGAACAAGAAACGACGCCTCAGTGAAGTCATGGTAGGCTTTGGAAAAAAATTGCTTTTGACGTAATATATAACGTCAAAGTGTTATTAGATCAACATTTTGATAGTTTCAGCAGCGTTTTTTCTGTTTTGAAGAAAGGCATTTTTAGACAAGCAGTCAAAAGATAAAAAACGCTGCTGAGAGTATGAAAATGTTGACATAATAATATTTTGATGTTTAAACTATCCCTTTAAAAGCTACTTTCTTCCATTTTATTATTTTTCATAGCAGTTACACGCTCTAGGGGTCGTTCTACAAACTTGAAAATAATTTGCAGCAATTTCTCATGGTGTCTTTAGTTACAAATATGTTTTTTTCGCAAGTTCTATGACTAATACTTTTCGAGATACAGCCTAGAGCTATTCTTAATGGGACACCCTGTACAACCGGGCTTTAATGTTGGGTGATAAGCTGCAAGGAAGAATATCTGTTGTAAGAGGATGGCAAATGACCCTGTCCCCCCTACAACAGGAAAATCCCCATGTATGATGAGTTATAATTTAAGCCCTGCGACTAATACTTTTCGAGACACAGCTTAGAGCTATTCTTAGTGGGACACCCTGTACAACCGGGCTTTAATGTTGGGTGATTAGCTGCAAGGAAGAACATCTGCTGTCAGAGGATGGTAAATGACCCTGCCCCCCCTACAACAGGAAAATCCCCATGTATAATGAGTTATAGACTGTATGATGAGTTATAACTCATCATACTTTTTACATTGAAAATTTTCAAAAAAATGTTTTTTTCCTTAAATTTTGTGAATCAGTGGATCTGGAGTTTTCTTTCTTGTAAATTTAATCTACTACCTATGTTGCCATATTATCAAGAAATTACGTTTTTTAACTAAACACTAAAAAAAACACTTTTTTTTGAAAAAAATTCCAAATTTGCAATTTTTTTTTCGTGAAAAAAACCTCATAATCATGTTTATGGGATCGAAATACAGGGTGTCCCAGGCTGAGCGTGCATTAGAAGTTTCTAGAGAACCACAATATCTAGATCGGAGATTTTTTGCACATCATTGTTTTACAACGAGATCTATCGATTAAAAATATTTTCAAAATGGCGGCACTTCCGGAAATACCGGAAGTTGGCAGCAACTTTCTTATTTTAAATGGGTGCCTCCACTTTTTATTACAGACTTAAATTCTCTGTAAAATTCTATGAATATTGCTGTTAAACACTCTATACCTAACATTAACCGTTTTTGAGAAAATAGACTACTAGTTAAAATCAAGAAAAATATACGCTTTAAAACTAAATCTTAAATAACTTAAAAACCATTTATTTTAGGTATAGGAACATGTATAGTCAAAAAGTAACTAATTGAAAAGTCTTTTCACTAGTGAAATAAAAAAAGTGGGTTTCCATTTGAAAACAAATGATTTATTATAATTTTTTAATCGCTCAATTCTATGACAGCTGCGGCCGTTATTATATGACATTCAAACAATTTTATTTTTGAAATAGATAGTAACATATTTTTTTCTTCATGGCACAGTGGCTGTGGTAATCACTAAATTTGACGTTTAGGCTATACACATATTTTTGACAGGCAGTTTTTTTCTTTCAAAAATTAAATTTTTTTTTTCTCAAAAACGGTCAATTTTAGATATAGAGTGTTTAATATCAAAATTCATAAAATTTTACAGATAATTTTAGTATGTAATAAAAAATGGGAACACCCATTTAAAATAAGAAAGTTGCTATCAACTTCCGGTATTTCCGGAAGTGCCGCCATATTGAAAATATTTTAATCGATACATAGATCTCGTTGCGAAACTATGATGTGCAAAAAATCTCCGAGCTAGATGTTGTAGTTCTCTAGAAACTTATAATGCACGCACAGCCTGGGACACCCTGTACACCACCCTTAAAAACTGGCTTAAAAATATTTGCCTTATTTAAGATTTTCACCCTGTATAATAAAATAAATATCAATTACTTAATATGATAAATGTTATTTTTAGATGGGCTTAAGGCTCTACTTGATTATTGTAAAAGTATTATTTGGGATTTTACCAATACAAAGCATGACAGGGTATTGAGGAGTTCTAACCCTATCACTGAAAATAGTGCTACAAACGAAACTGAAACCGATGATTCTAACTCCACGGAAAGGGGTACAACAAACAAGCCTACAATCTATGATGAAAATCCAATTGTAAAACTATGGAAGAAAATTAAATGGTTTTTTAATAAATTATACGAATGTTTAAAAAAAGCATTTAAGAACCCATAATATACTTATCTCTGTTATTCTTATGTTTCTTCATTAATTGTCTCTTTGAATGTTGGTATATTTAGGAAGTAATTCCTTTATACTATAATTCTACATGCACAATATATATTATAATTCATAAGAAAAACAGTTTTATTTAGATTTTTAGAGACTATACAACTTCTCACTCTAAGAAAAACAGTTTTATTAAACAGTTAAAAAGTTACATATCAAAGTTGGGTTTTTTGTAATGGAACACCCTATATATTAATTGATTTTCGGATTCTGTGAGAAAAATAAAGTTGAGTTTTATAAGAGAAGTATATGACTAAAATGTAAGGTTTTAAACATATTTAACATTTTCTAGAAATAAAGAACAATTTTTAAATTACAATAAAAACTACCTAAATTGGAATTTACCTGGTATAGCCTAACATGTAGTTAAATTAACTATTGTAATTTGCGTTAAAACATAACTGGCACTTTGAACCGTTTTTCTCACTTTTACCGGTATTCACTGTGTACAGGGTGGGCCAAATTGGACGCTTTTAAAGGAGACACCCTTTTCTATAGGAGATAGACGAAAACTGATATCGGTGTCTGGAGCTCAATTTTTGTCAAAAACATGATGGTGAAAACCGCATATGCATTTTTAACAAATCGCTGTAAGTTTTTTGCTATGGAAAATTTTGGATTTTTATGAAAACAATTCCAAAGCACCGTTTAAGTATAATTTTTTTAAAATTAATAATTTAAGAATTATCAACAGAAAATTTGATTTTTAATAGGGAACACCCTGTATATTTTTATATTTATTGAAAAGAATTTAAAATTACCTTTCCAAAAATATAGCACATTTGATATTTTGCTTGATTCCTCTTCGTGATATAGAGTTTATAAAAATTCGCCTACTTACTTTAAATAAGTAGGCTTTGAACAGCGCCGTAGGTAATGCAAAAAAATTCTAGCTGTAAGCATCAATTAAAACGAAAATAATATTTGTTATGAGAGATGCAGAATCTTATAACAATTTAAACTATATTTAACCAACATCACACACACAACACATTTAAACTATATTTAATAACAATAAAAATAAATAGCAAACCAAGACATGAGATTTTGCTGCAGGTGTTCGACATATCGACCGTCTTCTGTTATGGACAGACGGGGCTGTTTTTGAACATTTCTGGCGAAATTCATTAACTCAGTGAGGGTGAAAGATACCCTCTCGTAACTGCTAAGTATTTCTAATTCTTGTTTACATTATACGGGCAATTTAAAAATAAGAACCTTTATTTATTCCTCAAATATATCCATAGGATTAGATCCATATAGGCACTAAGTCCGGCGGCCTCGACGGCCAATGGCTGGGATCTTGGTTAGCTATTCAATTATTCTTGAAATAGGCTGCAAAAATTTGTTGATAACTTCAGCATTCTGAGGCGGTGCCTCATCTTGTTGGAAAAATATGTTTTCGAGTTCCATTAGGGGCATATATAGGGGGCAATAAGGGGTCCAAAGCTTACTAGATAAAAGTGGCGAACTTTTAAAAATTCTGTATTTCGAAGGGGATTATCTATAACAAAATATCAAGTCTGCTATATTTTTGGAAAGGCAATTTTAAGTGCTTTTGAGTTAATTAAAAATATACAGGGTGTCCCAAATAAAAAATCCATTTTTCTGTTGATAACTCTTAAATTATTAATTTTAAAAAAATTATACTTAAACCATTAAATTTTACGTAAAAAGGTGCTTTCGAAATGTTTTCATAGAAATACAAAATTTTCCATAGCAAAAAAGTTAGTAACTCCTAAACGGTAACAGATATTGATTTGCGGTTTTCACCATCATGTTTTTGATGAAAATTGAGCTCCAGACACCGATATTAGTTTTCGTCCATCTCCTATAGAAAAGGGTGTTTCCCTTTAAAAGCGTCCAATTTTACCCACCCTGTATTATCTCGGCGCGAGAAAACGGCTCAGATCGGCGCCGACTACCGGTAAGAGGAAAACCTGCTTGCACTGTGTTTCCACACTAATTTTAAATCGAAAGCTGCAAAAAATTTAATTCTCCTAGTTTATTTTCAATTAAGCGTAATTGCAGATACGCAGCTCTATTGAATTTTACATTAGCTGGACTAAAATATTTGCATTTTATTTGCACACAATGCACTACAAAAGTTCCGCGTTCACCCTTTTATATTAATTAATCAAAAGTGCAGAGTTTTACCTACCCTTCCAAACATCTCAATGAATTTCATTTGTGATGGTTTATTTGGGGGAAAGAATAGAATCACACGATAAATTGTAAACGAAGTTCGTTTTCAACTGTTCGATTTACATGATTACAAATGTTAAAATGTGTTTTTTTATTTAACCTTCTAACTTGGTTAATTCAGTTATTTTAGCAAATTATATTTTTATTAACAGGTATAGTTATTATTCCTATATCATATACAGGGTGTCCTGGGCTGAGCGTGTATTAGAAGTTTCTATAGAGAACTACAACATCTAGCTCGGAGATTTTTTCCACATCCTAGTTTCACAAGGAGATATATCGATTAAAAATATTTTCAATATGGCAACACTTCCGGAAATACCAGAAGTTGACAGCAACTTTCTTATTTTAAATGGGTGCCCCATTTTTATAACGTACTTAAATTCTCTGTAAAATTCTATGAATATTGATGTTAAACACTCTATATCTAACATTAACCGTTTTTGAGAAAAAAAATATTTAAAATTTTTGGACGAAAAAAACCATAAAATAATTAACTAGAAAGAAGTGTCAAGTCTGTGTTAAATCGTGGAAACACGATACGCCACCGAAAGCCTTCGTTGTCGTCTGGAGAACTAATTTTCCAATTGACAGGTTGACATGATGGCTTCATTTTTATTTCCGTTTCCGGTTATTCAATGGCGGGCCCTCTTTTAGTTTAAATGTATTTTGTACTCTTTCTTATCATAAATAAAACAAAACAAAATTTTATTCAAACATATTTATTTCAAATATGAGACAACATGACTAAATAAATATAAAAAATAAAGAATTGAATGATTTCTACAGCAATTACTTAATTATATGCAATTTTAACGTAAATTAGTAAGGTATACGCATGACTTATAGTAATTTGTGAATAAATACACGTATTCACAGCCATCAGGGACAGAAAACGGGGGCAGGAACATGAAAACGGGAGCCTTATAGAAAAACCTGAAAACAGAAAAACAATTTTTTTTATACTAAAATTAACAATGTAAAAATATCAATAGGTATAAAATATAAATATACTGTTTAAAAAAGCGTCCATTATTCCCAAATTACTTAGAGACCTGGCTTATTAATCAAAAAGAAGCAAAAAGAGATTTTTAGGCGGATAACATAATCAGATTATCAGTCCGATTTATTGCATTATTGACAATAAATCGGCACATACTGGAGATAACTAATGTTGGCTATAGTTAAAAATGATCTTACCTTGTAAAAACAGTGTTTATTTACTACCTATTTTTCATATACATGGGACATACCTACTACTGCAGAAACGTCCATTTTCTCCAGAATTCTTTATGTAATATATATTTTATATACTTTATTACCTTTATATTTATAAATTTCAGCCGAAATATTAAATTGAACTTCCAAAACGAAACTAAACGGAGTAAATTAAAATGGCCTCGAATATTTTCTAATTATTTGTTCTAGAACAAATCTGAAGTTGTCTCTCAAACTGAAATCTGTCAATTCTAATATGTGAAGTTAGACAACAGTTAGACAAAAACAATGCTGTTCTTGTCTAGGCGGCCATACTTGTCGTGAGGAGAATGACAGGAATGACACTAATGACTGTTTCCAATTTTCCTATTTCACTGTCACCCCCCTGAAAAAAACTACCTGTCAAAAAAATTTGTATAGCCTAAACGTCAAATTTAGTGATTACCACAGCCACTGTGCCATAAAGAGAAATCATGTGGCTATGTATTTCAAAAATTAAATTGTTCGAATGTCATATAATAATGGCCGCAGCTGTCATCAAAAGAGCGATTAAAAAATTATCATAAATGTTTTTTTTTCAAATGGAAACCCACTTTTTTATTTCACTAATGAAAAGGCTTTTCAATTCGTTACTTTTTACTATACTATACATGTTCCTATACCTAAAATAAATCGTTTTTGACTTATTTAAGATTTAATTTTACAGCCTATATTTTTTTGGATTTTAACCAGTAGCCTATGACTTCAAACGTAATAAAAATCTATACTATATACAAATATATAAAATCCTTAAGTGACTGACATACTGATTAATCACGATCCTGCTCAAACCACTCAACGTAAGAAGCTCAATTTTGGTATACAGATTGATTCTAGTGTGTAGAGGTTCGATAAGAAGGGATTTTTCGAAATTCCAGTTCCGAAAGGGTGAAACCACCCCTCAAATATTACAATATTTTTCATTTAAAAAACGGTCAAGTTTCCGAAAAAACGCTTAAACACGTATATTTTATTTTGTTTTTTTACATATTTTAAGATTTTTTAAAAATGTATACGGGGTGTTTCGAAAAATCTGGTCATTGATTAATCACGATCGTGCTTTCTTTGCGATTGACCTTAGGGTGTAGAGGCTCGATAAGAAGGGATTTTTCGAAACTCGAATTCTAAGGGTGTGAAACTATCCCTCAAATATTAAAATATTTTTTATTTAAAAACCGGTCAGTTTTTCGGAAAAACTCTTAAACACGTATATTTTATTTTGTTGTTTTACATATTTTAAGATTTTTTATAAATTTATACAGGGTGTTTCATAAAATATGACCATTGAGTAATCACTATTCTGCTTAAACTGCTTGACGTTTAAAGCTGATTTTTGGCAAACGGATTGGCTGTGGGGTGTAGAGGTTCGATCAGGAGGGGTTTCTCGAATCTCAAATTCCAAGAGGGTGAAAACGCCCCTCAAATATTACAATATTTGTTATTTAAAAAACGGTTAGTCTTTCGGGAAAACGCTTGGACAGGCATAATTTATTTGGTTTTTTTACATTTGAAATAATTTTGAAATTTTTTAAAAAATCATAAAGGGTTTTCCAAAAAGTATGGGTAATTGATT